ATGTATTTTTTTTTTTTTTTTTTTTTCAAAACGAAAGGGATATTATGCCAAAGCTCAACAAGAACATAGTTCGAATACAAACGCGACCCAAAGCCGAAAATGGAAAACAGAGAGGACACGCTAAGAAGCGGCCTAGAAATCCCACAGACTGGATGTAAAAGAAACATAAATAAAAAGAACATCAAGCTATACCACTGCCAAAGCCTAGCATAGCTACAATGCCCCAACCGAAACAAAAAAAAAAAAAAAAAGAAAAAAAACTCACAAAAAAGGGGGAGAATGACGATAAAGAGAATTGCGCTATTTTTGTTCTTTACGTTAGATATTTTTTGTGAAGTTAGGCAGTCAATGTATTTTTTTTGGGATGTGCTCCATTTGTAAAAAGTTTGTATGATTGCTTTGATTCTCATAGCCTCATATATCCTTTTATCCCACCTTACCTAAGCCCCATTACAACCCATTTAAACCCTTCGATCTTGTGTATTCATATTGATTCTTGTGTGGACGAACGTGATATATTTGCAAGTTTATGGTAAAAGTCTTCATTGTCTTGACTTGAGCGATTTTTCAGTATGTACGTATAAAAAAATAAAAAAAAAAGAGAGAAAAAAAAGAAGTGCGATTTTTCAGTCTGTGTAAAAGTGTTGAATGTGTCGTTATTTCTTTTGTGCTAACTTTGATTATACCGTTCACGTTTACCTTCTTTTTATTTTTCTTAGGCATGCTTTTTAGGCATAATTAGGACATGCATTCTTGGTGAATTTAAAAGCTATGATCTTGTTTTCTTGTGCGATGTGTGAATCATGGAACTATTTTCTAATTCTTTGGATAATTGTTGGTGCTTTCTGTGGAGTGAGTTCGCGAGTTTCGAGATCTTGGGTGACTATGAGATTGACGTGCATAAGGATTGTAAAGTTCATATTTACGGTTTTTGATTTTCATGAGGGGATATAATTCTTATTGATTTTGGTATATATATTAGTTGCTGCTATGTGTGCATTTTTTTAAGCATTGCCCATGTCTTAGGAAAATTCTGTCTCTGTTCTGATTGTGCTTCTTTTTAGTTAAAAAAATTAAAAAAATTGCCAGCGTTTTTTTATGTCATTTTCTTTCGTCTTCTTTTTAGCGTTTTCTTTTAAGTTTTCTTCTCTTATCTTACGCTATTTTTTTTCGAGTCTTTTATCTCTCACAGGCACACTCTCCTCATCGACTAGGGTTCATCTCGAATTTCAAAAACATTCACAATTCTCACCGGCATACTCTCTTCCTCCATAAAATCCGATGGCCCCCCGTCGATCGACCAGGAAATCGGCTCCGATTGGTCAATCCACGCCGGATTTCTCTCTGCCGCTGGACGAGGAGTCTCGCCGTGTTTTTTCGTCGCCGGTCACAGCAACTTGTCGTCCGCCCGCGCCTGGTCGTGGTTCGCAGCGACCGTCTCTCCATCGTGATGCCGAATCTCTTCTGACGACGGCCACTCCCGCTCCTCTGGTATCCACTCGCGGCCCGAAGCTTTCGAGTAGGTGCTCCAGACGGGATTCTCACCGAAGTGAGACCGTGCTTCCACCGTCGCGGCGACCGACCCACCATGGTAATGACGAAACTCTGCCGAAGACGCACTCTTCCGCTCTTCCCGTCTCTGCTCGCGGCCCACAGTCTAGACTCTGAACGGGCATCTCGCGGTGGTGAGAGCGTGCCTCTGCCGTCACCAGCCGCGCCCGGCTCCCCGACCATTCTTCCGTCGTCCCAGGTAACTGTTTCCTTTTCTCTTGGACTTGACATCCAAACCGAGGTATGAATATTTGATCTGCTGATGGAATTGATATTCTGCCGAGCGATGCTTCAGTAGCCCAAAGAAATGATAAAGCAAATAGCAATAAAGTTGTACCCAACATATGTTTTTTTTGTTATCCGTTTGTGGATGCTGTGGAGGGCATCACTCATGTGCTGAAGTCTAGCGAGTACCATGGCCGTAATGATTAGTCCTATAGATTTCAGACGGATATGGGATTCTGGAAGGTTCATATACAGGGTTTTAAGTCCGGTGAATATGGTTTATACACTTCTCATTAAGCGGAATCTGCTGTGGTTCTTGCAGAATGGCAAAGTAGGACAATCCTCGATTTCTAACTGTTCAGGAAATAATGCAGAGAGGGCTAAAGATTAAGGCATTGGTTCGATTTATTTTGGATCAAGGTGCATCAAAGAATCTCAATCTCATTGATCCTGCTTGAGTTGAGGGGGAGTCGAAGCCGCGCTCGGGACCTCGCCATTCTCATATTCTACAGTTCATGTTTTCTGACCAAAAAGGGGGAGATGGAGAGCGAAGATGGTGTCATCGAAGACTCGACTTTATCACTGTTTGCATTTCTTAACCTTAACTCTCTTACATTTTACTATGCATTTGTTTAGGGGGAGTAATTGTTTTCTGTGGGAGTTTGTATTATTTTTTGTTTTTGTTCAGAAAAGCAAAAAAGGGGGAGATTGTTAAATACGTATTTTAGAATAAATATTTTGCTTTTCTGATTTATTTGTGCATATTTTTGTATTTATTTTATATTTAGTATAATATTGTTTTTATTTGGTTCCCTTTTATTATTTGGTTTCCTTGTGTTATTAGGTGTCTTGCTAGGAAAGAAAAAGATAAGAAGGAAAAGAGATCTTGAGGGAGACGCGGTGTGGGTGAGTTATCAAGAAGAGCAGCGTACGTTTTTTAAAAAGAGGAGGAGCAACAGCGTGGAATTCTTTGGTTCCAAGGAGCAACAACTTGAGTGTTGTAGCACATATTTTTTCTTAGAGCTGCAAGGGTTTTAATTGAAAAATTAAGAGCAGCACAAGTGGGATTCAACAAGCAAATAATAGCAGCACAAATTGTGATTTTTGGAACAAAGGGCTGCGTGGTTTGATTGGAGATTTCAAGGAGCAGCTTGCTTTTTTACTATTTTTCTTTTGGCATGATTCATTTGATTATCTGAAGTGATATAGTGCATATTAGTGTCGAACTCGCGTTTTGTGTTTTTTATAGTTCACTAGATATTTTTGGATTGGATGAAAAATTTTGTGAATAATTTGTTCTAGTGGAATTTCGGCATGTGGCCTTAGTCTACAAGTGTATATTCACTTGTAGGCTAAATTTTGAATCTTTCGTATTATTTATTTCCGCTGCGTATTTTATTTTTGATCTTTGTGTGAAAATCTGGAGTTTTCGGTACCTAAAATTCTTACACAGTCCAATACCAATCATACCTAATGAGCAATCTCCTCAAACATTGTACACTTCTATACACGTCGTGTGTTGGCCAAAAGATTCTAATAAAATGATTTTCAACTCCATAATACCAATTCCAATTGTTTATTAGTACTTTCAAACCCCTTTGAACCCTTTTATTGAGATAGTTTTATCTTTCTCTTTAAATCCATCTTATCTTATATAAAGTTAACTTTTCTTTAAAGTTAACTTTAAATCCCCTGTTCTCTCCCTCAATTCACATACTTGCATAAAATCCAAAAAAAGAGCTTGTTCAGAAGCATACATAACAACTAACAAAATCTTGGAGAAGAGTAATTTAGCAATAGTGAGAGGCTAACTTATTATGCATACCGTTAGAAGTCGGTGGTACCACGACAACGTGCATGGTGGTGTTGTTTGGAGGTAAAGCCAGCCTAAGCGGATAAAGTTTCCCATTCACGATATTTCTCGAGCACACGATTACATCCTCGAGCCCAGTTTCATCCTCTAACCTCTCACTCAATTCCTCCAACCCCTGCCCTTTGAACTCGAACGAACGTTCTTCTATCACGTCATTGATTTCCCCATCATCATCAGCCACGTAGTAGTATATAAGCCGTCCCTCAGATTTCTTTTGCTGTGGGTCTTCAAATGAACCTCTTCTAGGCTGGTCATAGTAAATCCAAAATATAATTTAAGTTCCTAATGATTGCTGGCAAAATTTAAAAAATGATCCACTATGTTGGTCATTTTCTGAAAAAGGTCCAACATATAGGGCGACATCAAGAACAATCCACTAAAAAATTTCCATTTTGATCAAACTTCGTACAATAACCAACATAGTGTACTAAAAGTGATCATTTTTATTTTTTTTGTCATTTTCAGTACACTTCGTGGCTATTGCACTGAGTTTTCATTAAAATGGCAACTTATTAGTGGTTCATTTTTTATGACGCCCTATATGATGGACTATTTTCGGAAAATGACCAATATAGTGTACTAAAAATAAAATTTAGCCGATCTGATTGCTACATTGGGACAAGAAGTACTTATGGAAACTGTAGCAGG